GCAACGGTGTGAAAACAACGATGATAAAGTTATTTTATGGTTACAGGCAAATATCAGGGGTATGTAGCAGAAGTCGAGTAAATAGTAGGACTTTTCGATTGCTCCTATAGTTCAGCATAGAAGATTTCCAACCGTTAAGACATCTATTTCAAACGTTACACACACACACACACACACACAATTTATTCTATGGCTATTCGTTCATTTAAAGACTACAGTTGTAACATCTTTCAACGATAATACATATGATGAGTTTATGTACGACTATGTTCTTTAATGGTGTCTACCAATGGAATTTACGAAGTGTCGTTTGTCTTACCATCAATCTTTATATGGGTTTATTTACATTCTGCTGATGGTGTTCCTACCAGAGCTTGATCTCAGCATCCGCTGCTTTGAACTTTGTTATGTTATACTCAAGGCTGTTGATTACAAAGGATTTGAATTATTAGTTAAGCTTGAATTTTCCTGTTCTTGTTTTTGGCTAGTTGCATCCCACTAATTTCAGAGGAGTATAATTAGAATTTTTCTGCTGTATATTAAACTAATTGCTATGCTTTGCAAACATTAAAAAAGATTATGCCTGTTTCAACTTTGTATTCGTAAAAATGTTTTCGACCTCATACTCTCCAGTCCTAAGTGTTGCTCAAATTCTATCGACCAGGTTAAAGACACTGATTGTCAAGATCCACTGTGATAATTGTTGGTCAGATGGAGGCAATCAACAGAAAACCTTGCTCGACCTAGGTTCTCGTACTTATTGGCACTTTCCAGCAAGGCGTATCTGTATCCTCTACGAAACTGATAGCCCATCTGAAGCTTGGACCTACGTTACTCAGTTCTGCAGTCAGAGACATTACTACTAAGCTGTTCGATAGGAGTCGGTCAACATTTAAGACTAGACAAGATGAAGTTCGTTGTCCTTCAGTGACTGATCAATGTACCTAATCCAGTCCTATAGGAGATCGGTCGTGATCCTAATAGCTGAGTGATAATGCCTCTAACTGCAGCATTATTATCATTATTTATTACTTATCACTTGGGTTCCTAGTGGGACATAGAGCTTCAGTAGCACGTCTCCATTTCACTCTCTTCTCTCCAGTCTTTTCAACCTAGAACTACATCTACCTAGAAGCTTTCATTTCTTCCTCCCTCACATGATCTCCTCCATATCACCCTCTCCTCGGACACCCAACTCGTCCTTTCACATTTGGGTTCTACTCGAGAGCATAGCCTGGCCTCGTGCGTGACGTTCCCAATCGGTCTTCTCAGTGTATGTCCCATCTAATCCAATCCAATCCATCTCCACTTTCTGCTTCTGCATATTTGTTAGAGGATGGGCTGTTGATAGGTTCGTTGCCAGCCAGCCAATCAGCCAGAGTGAATTCCTTGTTGCTTATTCTTATTATTCTGGCCTTCTCTTCTCATCTCATCTGATCTTCAGTGTCACCATCGAGTGAGCGTCGGTGGCATCTGTTGACAATGCATTTCTGTAGTTTGTTGTAAATGCTTTTTTTGACACGCCAAGTTTCTGAATTATATAGAGACACTGAATTGACTGATGTTGGTGTTGAAAATGCGGATATTGTTCACTCCTTATAGTGAGTGCAGTGCAGTGCAGTCGATCTCTTGACTGATTATTTCAGAATAATGAAGACCTGTCTTACTGTTTTTGTGATGCTGTCTGGCTTTGACATCGTCATGTGTGCGTGTGTGGTGTGTAGTTGAAATGATGCTGCGTAGGTAGGTGGTGGGTAGGTGGGAGAGACGAGTTGTTTTTTTAGATTTGTGTCGTTGGTGATGGTGATGGTGCTTGTTGTTGTTGTTGTTGGGTATCTTCATCACCTGTGTCTTTTGTAGGTTCACTTGAAGGATGTCTTGTCTTTGCTGCGTTGCCTGTTGTGTTAACTTGTTAGTTTTTGGTTGTAGATCTTTGAGTTTCTGCTACATAAGACATTAGTCATAAATGATCATGGGTGAAATCGAAATGTTGTTCTGGGTTGTTTTGCTCTGTGCAGCGTATGTGCCTCTTGTTGGTGTTGACAGTTTGTTGCATGATCCAGTGTATTTGACTACAATCAGGAAGATGATCGGTGATGGTAGGCTTCAGCCTTGTCTTACTCTTATCTTCACTTCGGAGGCATCAATCAGCTTTCCACTTTCAATCGCATAAGATGTAGCATCATATAGCATATAGCTGCTGTTAAATGAGGTTGTTAAAGTTTTGTGGCACTCAAACCTTAGTGTTGAAGCAGCTGCATGCCAAATTACTTCTCGGTTGAAGCTGTCGAAGGCCTTTTCAAAGTCGTTGAAGTTGAGGTAAAGATCCAGTTGGCTGCCATTCTATGCTCTGTTCTATTTTGATGCGCAGCGCAGCTTTGCAATTTGATTCACACATGATTTGCTCTTCCTGAAGCCAACGAGCCAGTCAGTTCTGGTCGTAATTTTGAATCCAGAGCACCTTTTAATCTCTCCAGGATGAAGCGGCATAATATTTTGCTTTGGCTGGACAGGGGTGGAGCTTAATTCCTCGCCAGTTCTTGCAAAGTCTTAGGTCTCCCTTCTCTGTGATTTTCACAAGCTAGCCCTTTTTCATATCGGCAGATACCTTTCCTTCCTTCTTTCTAAACCTTCTACAGTAGTGACTCGCGCATGTCCGCTGTTATCTCTGCGTCTGTTTTCAGTGCTTCTGGAGCAACTCCATCTAATCCTGCTGCTTTCCCGGATCTCAGCAACTTTATAGTGTCCAGGACTCCTGCTTTTGTCTTAGGGCTTGTGTTCACTGATAGTTCTGTGGCTTGGCTGCTGGTGGTATATCTGGACGAGTTGCAGGTGGTGGTGGTTGATTCAAGAGTTTTTCAAAAGGTCAACCCGTCAATTTTTTTTCTCCTCTTTGTTAACTAGGTTTCCTTCACTATCTTTCATTGGTCTCATCCCTGTTGATCTCTTCCCAGATAGTAACCTGGTTATTTTATATAATGTTGTTATGTCTCTCCTACTAGCAGTCTATTCTGCTCACTTGTAAGTCTGTCGTAGAAGTATCTTTTATCTTTCTGCTCACTTCTTCTTCACGTCTTTGTTCAGTGTTTTATACCTTGTACTCAATTCTTCTTTTCGTTTTACATCCTTGCACTGGTTCATCGTCTGCTTCACCATCTTCCTCTCCTTACTCTATCAGCTTCCATGTGTTCGTCGAGATCCATTCCTTGACTTGTTTCTGCTTCCTTCCTAACAAGGTAATGCAGGTTTCTTTCCACATAGCTTTCAAAGAGTTCCAGTGTTCTTCCACGCCGGTTCTCTGAGGGATGTTGCTTTATTGTCTCCATTTTTTTTCCTGGTAACTGAAGTGAAGATGTCCTTTGTAGTTTTGTCCTTCAGTAGCTGTTCTGAGTGTTGAACTTGAACTGTGGTCCATGACCAACATTTTTGAAGTCTTTCAACTTTTTAGTGTAGTGTGTCCATCTGGTGAAATCCATGTCACTTTGTGAATATCACTGTGTTTGTACACACTGCCTGCAATCACGAAATCGTTAAATGCGCAGAAGTTTGCAAATAGTTCTCCATTGTCGTTCATTTAACTGAGTGCTTCTCGACCCATGATCGGTTCTCTTCCCGAGTTGTCCCCTCCCACTTTCGCATTCATCTCATCCCACCCATTAGAATTTTGATGTCACCAACTGGAGTGTTGTCGAGTACTGACTGCAGTTGTTGTAGAATCGCACCTTCTCTCTTTGTCTGCATTATTTGTAGGTGGATAGCGTAGCATTGTATGATTGTGATTTTGCTTCCTTTTGAGTTGAATGTTGTTGTGATGATCCTGGGGGAGGAGATTAGTTCTCATTGCATGAGAGTAGGATTTCGATGCTATTGAGGACATTATGATACCCACTCGCTCAGTGTGGTTGTGGTTGTCGTCTGGGTGACAATATTGGGATAGATTTTTGACTTCCCTCCAGTTGACATTTTGGAGATTCTACTTCCATTTTATCTGCTTTCTCATATTACTCGCACTTCTGTGCCATACCTACTGATCTCCTTTGCAATCTGGGCTGCCTCGCTAGATTCATACATGGTGCGGACATCCCATGACGTAGGCTTCCTGAAGGCTTTCACCAACTGGCGTCGCTTCATCTCTCCAATTTCAGCGAGAAGTAATTTTGTTGTTGTTGATATTTTCTCTGTACTTTGAAGTTTTTTTAGCGATTGAATTGATTTTACGGGTTAGGGTTGATAGCCCTATTCCCAACCTTCCCTGTTTATCTGGGCTTAGGACCGACTATTAACTAGTGAACTAGTTAACTAGGCGAGGTTGACTACAGCATTGGATGATCGAAATTAAAGTTTCAGACGACACCACTTCTGTCGAGGTTGCAGACGCGCCTTGCCTACGAATAATCACAAACAAGAAACCTAAATCCAGGGTTTCCTGGTGATTGCCTCTAACCAACTAGCACCTGATATATCGTTATTTGATCGAATAGGTAGTATGTTGTACAGCACTTATTATGCCGTCTTCTGTTCTTAGAAGTACTCATTAGATTATTTATCTTTCATATAACTCAATAACGATAAAACCGTTAGTCGAAAGAGGCCCTTGGCTTTTGATATTCATTCAATTGGGTCTTGATATCACCATTATTACTATTTGATCACAGTAAATCACAAGTATAAAGTTGTGACGTAAGTATCCAATTCAGCCAACTAGTTTAGTGCACAGTCAACTAGATTTTATTGTTCAATATTTATGCCAACTCAAGATATAGTTGTAATGCCATTATTTTTGGGATTAATCAACCCTAATTTATTTCCTTTTGTTACTTTACTATATATTGAGTAATTTAAGCGGAAAACTTAATTTATATAATTTTATTTCGTAGTAGTATAAGTTAGTGTTTATAATCACACTTTTCATTATTATCTAATTCATATAAACTTATTTGAAAAAAAAATTATTATTTTGTCGCATTATTATTTCCCTTATTATTATTATTTTCTTACAGAAGATGCTGAATCAAGCACTATCTTCATCATGTTCACTCAATCAAATTGATTTAGATGTGAATAGAACATTTCGTAATACGATTTACTTTCGTGATCGTTATGGTCCTCGTCAATGTGCACTATTTCGTGTACTAGCTGCTTATTCAGTGTATAATTCTGAAGTTGGTTACTGTCAGGTTAGTTAGTTGATACTTTTTTGTAATTTACTGAAATCAGTAATTATTACTTTTAAAAAAAAATGCAAGTATAGCAATAACTAAGATATTATATTAGTCTGTAGTAGATCTGATTGTTGCTTCGAGCTGTATAGGAGAATGTAGACCACTCGGTTGGGGGGTCTATATGACCACCGAAATCAGCGATTGAAGACTACAGTTGATATAGCTTGGAATCGATCTCAGTGGTGCAGATACATTCATACATTGCCTTCTTCTTAACTGCTGTATCCAAGCTCATTATTATCTTAGCTTTTCTTCCTTTTTTGATTGCTTTCTTATCCATATTTTTACTTTTCATCCTCTTCTTCCATGTGATGATATTAAGTGTGGCGAATTGGGGAGTTAGTTACTTAGGATTGTCAGTTTTTATGTTAATATAATGCGTAGTATTGGTGTAGATAGAGATTACTGATAACAAACATTTCAAATAAAATGCCGATAGCTGTCTTAAATGCTGATTTGTTCAACTCATATTTATCAAGAAATCTACCCTTTATAGTGTATTCCTGTATTATGACGAAAACTATTCAGGTGCACAACTTTTTCACTCATATAAAATTCGCTTTTTAAGAAAGTTGACTGTAGGCTTATTCTCAGACAGTAGCAACTCTTTCACATAAATAAGATTGTGTTTAAGTTGTTTTCCAGTTCGAAACTGCGACGGTTAAACAAGTTGCTATATGAGATAAATCTTGGGTAAGTAATTATCTAAAGTCTGCGTAATGACTATCTCAGTGGTCGTGATAAAATACTCGAGGGCCTGGCCTGGTCTGGCGCGTGACGTCCCCAATCGGTCTTCTAAGTGTCTCCTCAATCCAATCCACCCCATTTTCTTCTTCTGCATATTTGTTGGTTGATGGGTTCTTCGTTGGTTGGTTCGTTGCCAGCCAGCCAGCCAGCCAGCCAGCCAGCCAGCCAGCCAGCCAGCCAGCCAGCCAGCCAGCCAGCCAGCCAGCCAGCCAGCCAGCCAGCCAGCCAGCCAGCCAGCCAGAGTGACTTCCTTGTTGCTTATTCTTATTATTCTGGCCTTCTCTTCTCATCTCATCTGATCTTCAGTGTCACCATCGAGTGAGCGTCGGTGGCGTTTGTTGACAATGCATTCTGTAGTTTGTTGTAAATGCTTTTTGTGACGTGCCAAGTTTCTGAATTATATAGAGACACTGAATTGACTGATGTTGGTGTTTAAAATGCGGATATTGTTCACTCCTTATAGTGAGTGCAGTGCAGTGCAGTCGATCTCTTGACTGATTATTTCAGAATAATGAAGACCTGTCTTACTGTTTTTGTGATGCTGTCTGGCTTTGACATCATCATGTGTGCGTGTGTGGTGTGTAGTTGAAATGATGCTGCGTAGGTAGGTGGTGGGTAGGTGGGAGAGACGAGTTGTTTTTTTAGATTTGTGTCGTTGGTGATGGTGATGGTGCTTGTTGTTGTTGTTGTTGGGTATCTTCATCACCTGTGTCTTTTGTAGGTTCACTTGAAGGATGTCTTGTCTTTGCTGCGTTGCCTGTTGTGTTAACTTGTTAGTTTTTGGTTGTAGATCTTTGAGTTTCTGCTACATAAGACATTAGTCATAAATGATCATGGGTGAAATCTAAATGTTGTTCTGGGTTGTTTTGCTCTGTGCAGCGTATGTGCCTCTTGTTGGTGTTGACAGTTTGTTGCATGATCCAGTGTATTTGACTACAATCAGGAAGATGATCGGTGATGGTAGGCTTCAGCCTTGTCTTACTCTTATCTTCACTTCGGAGGCATCACTCAGTTTTCCATTGAAGCGGTTGCAAGTTTTTAATCACAGTTATCTTCATCACTTTGTTCGCGTTTGGTAGAATCATGGTTTGTGGTCCGACAGAAGTTATTTGGCTATATAGGCAATTCGATTGGTGAAGTTTTGAACCTTAATCGACTGAGATTGCTAGAACGTGTACTGAAGTGTACATGCCAAGCCGTCGCCTACGTCGGTGTGGCATACTAAGTTGCAATAAGTTGAAACAGCGTTCAGACTGGACCGACACATGGCATCAGTCGATGTTTTCTCTTACTGTTATTTTTAGCAATTCGTCGAGATGTAGAATACCTTGATGGGGTACCCAAGGCTGTAGAAATCAGCGGTTGGGAACTCTTAGTGACATGGTTGAAAATCATTCACAGTAATGCAGATGTATTCATTCACCTTTTGATGTCTTGTATATTTTCGCTAACCTTTATCTTCAAGTTGTTTATTATTTCATATAACTTTGTCTACTTTCATATCACTCCTTTTCTATCCACCTGTTCTTTGTATACTATTGTGAATTTTGTCAACCGATACACCTGTCTGTCTGTACAAAAAATAATTTTTGATATGGATATCTTTTGGTTATCAACTTATAATTCTGAGGAGTACACTTATTTCGATCACTTCATAATGCGATTATTTGGTTTGTTGTGGCTAGTAGAAGAATCCAAGACGCACATTTCGTCCTCTTTGGTACTCGTCAGCTTGATGTACCTGCCTTCCCTGTCAGTGATGTTGTTCCCACTGAGACCTGAACCTCATACTCATCGCTTCAAACGCCAAGGCGTTATCCATTATACCACGGAGGAACGATAGATACTTTTTGTACAAGGGTTGTAACTTCGTAATACGTTTTAAGGTTATCGTTGAGAAGTTCAGTAGAAAACGTATTGGGTATTTAGAAGTTTTGATAAAGAAATCAACGTGGACTTCTTTGACTACTGTCTTTGTACACCTCAAACTGCGAATGGTAACTTCTTAGTTTTTTTCAATAATGTAAACTTATTATCCGTTTATAGGTTAAAGGTTGTTAACGAAAGTTTATTTGCTAACACGTATCTCATTCATTTTATTTATTTGGTGTTAGAGGTAATATTTTGTTGCCTTAATTGGTTAATTAGGTGAATACTGCTCAAGGTTTTTCAAAATAGCGCTTCGTTCCAATACCAATAAAAAAAATAGTAAAGAATACTGGAAGAGGTGTATACTATTAGAGACTAAACAGAAAATTCATTGTTTAACGTCTTCGTTGATGGTGTCCATTTGTGCTTGTTCAATGAACTGACAAATGGAATCAATCATTCCTATCTTTCGGTTTAATAAACACAGTGTTACCTCTGCGATGTGTGCGCATACTAGGATTTCGTACATCCTATACTTACTCCTAACACGATTACATCTTAACATGCTTGTGTGTATGCGTGTGAAGTTAATAAAAAACACACGAAGACGTTTTTGGCTCAACTGAACTGTCCTGACGACCACTAGCATGAATATGTACTAGGAAGTGAAGCCTACTTATTGTTTGAGGGCTAATGATACTGTTCTGCTGCCTAAACTTTCGTAGGTTAGACGTGATTTAAATCCACAACTGCATAGTATCAACCGTTTCAAGACTATCATCAGCAACTGTCTTTATCTTTTCTTCCCAAGGTAATTGGCCTCACAGATACCTTCTTCTGTAACGCCATATGGCTAATAACTTTTCAGAACCCATTCAATCTGTTGCACCAGTAGAATATCTAATTCTCTACTGAAAGTTTAGTATACTGTAAAAAAAATACCGACTGTATCCAACTGTACGACATGGTCATAGAATTTGAGAAATATAAGGAGGTTTAGAGATATTTCGCTATAGGTGTTTTCTTGGCACATTTTTTTTTACATGATAGAACCCAAAAATGGTGAGTGTCAGAGTGAAATGCAAACTGAAGTTGACCTTAGTTTTAGCAGTGGTACACTTCATAGTATACAAAGATAATGAAGTAATTGGTGTAGTGTATTAAATACAATGGGTAAGATTCAAGAGGAGAAATAAATAAGTATGGTTGTATCTGCATCAATGTAACCAGTTTTTACGCCACATCACGTATTCCATTGGGAAATTTATGGAAAATGGATTGATTTCAAACCAGTTTTAATCAACTAGAGAACCACTGGAAATCAGAGAGCATAAAATAGCTGTTTCTTTCTAGCTTATGACTCTTCAGTAGTGTTTGTCAATAGAACCATGTACACTCAACTATTATTTTTTTTCGATAGAAGTTATCTTTATAGATTGTTTTCCTGTAATTTTATCATCAGTTGATTAATTGGCTAATTTCACTTTGTTTTCATGTCTATTTAATCAACATCTACCAGATTTTACGTTACGAAATCAACTCACTTCTTTTTAAATTTTGAGGGGGTTGTGGAGATTTGGAAATATTTCAAGTTGTTATTCATCGATCCCTGCTGGTGGGGTCGTGGGTGCGCACTGCTGAGGAGTCCCATACTAGGACGAAACAGCTGTCCAGTGATCCCAGGTTTCCTTTGTTCCTCCAACTGATGTCAGTCTTCGATGAATAATCACTTCTTTTCAGTTTTATTTCCTTCATTCTTTTGAGAGTAGAGTTGACATAATAACAAGATGAAAGGTAAAAACTGATTGATTGACCTTGACTACTCATGACACTTCTAAACACTTTAATGAAAATTGAACTGTTGTTTAGCACAATACACTTTCATTTATCCAAAAACTAGATATTTCCCATGAATTCTATTGCTTTATTAAAGATAGTACTGAATAAGTTAACAATGGCTGATTGTATAACTTAACTGAAGTGATGGAATAATTATTTTTTCCATCATTTGACTATCTGAGATAGCCATATTTTGGTAGACTAGTATTAATGCTGGGTGATGGTTGAAGGTGAAATAGAAATTTAAATCGCAGTCGGATTCGAACTAACAACCACCGGGTTTCCAGCCCGATGCTCTACCAACTCAGCAACAAGGTTTTACTGTTGACCAGATTTTTATTTCACTTCAGTCACCATGGGTTTTGCCTGACCACCAAACCACAGCTATCTCAGATAGTCGAGTGATAATCAATATGATGCTCCCTCTCTCTAATTCAGTTAAATTTAGATTGAGATAAGAAGTCATGCCTGACAGCCAGTGTGAATACGATCAAGCGGTA